ATATATATATATATATATATATTTATTAATTTGGGGCACAAAATGGGGGAGCTTGAAAAAAAGATAATCATTTACATAGGTTTATAATTTATATCGATCTATTCTAGTTTTATCGCAAAAATATTGTAAAATATGTGTATACAGGTGTATGTTATATATATAACCTTGAACTCGCAATCTTAGTGGTGGCCGGGGAATTGAAATAGAGTAGCTGAGAGAAAGAAAGAAAAAAAAAGTAATTCATAAGCATGATGCACATAATTATATAATTGATCTTGTGGTCATCATCTAACAACATCATTATTTAAATGGGAAGGGCACATAATATGGCTGTTAGTGTCCGACGACTTTATCCTTTTGCATAATGGAGTGGAGGAGATAAAATATGTTGATGGGAGGAGATTTTGTCTTTCTATATATAATATGATTCATTTTTGGTCTTATATACATAATATATTGTGCTTAATTTATTATAAAGGTTAGAGAGTGTTTTATTCTACATAATTATTAAATTAAAAATAAAAGTTTGGATGTATTAAGCCTTTTTTAATTGTTGAAAAAGTATCTATAAAAGACTTGTTAGCATATCTTTAATTTTTTAAATGCAAGGGGACCCACGTATTATTTTCATGCAACGTATTTAATTTCCTCAAGTGCCTAGGACCCCTTTGTTTATAAGTGCATCAACTTTTGTCGTTTTGGCTCCTCAAATCTCGCCCGTAATATTACGTGTTATGCTCATCGTTTACTCTAGTAGGTACTATATAAAGTGTAAACGGTAAACCTCTTCCTCGTTTATTAATTATTTTTAAATGATTTACTAACCACAGTTGTAACTTTTTACTCTATTACTATTTAGCCATAAAATTAATATTCTAACTTTTCTTTCACTGATTTGTTAAACCTGATTTTTTTTACTTCTTTTCTTCTCTTTTTTTTGGGTTGAAATCTTCATTAATTTCTATTTACTAATCTATTAAACAAGATAATACACATATATATATATAATGTAATTAGCATATTTTTTTAATTAAATTTTTAATTCCACTGTTGTTAGTCTATCATTTATAATACTCCAATTATGTAAATTATTTAAAAAGATAGATAGAGACAAGGATGTAACTAAAAAAGATACTAGTAATAATTAATGTTTTTTTTAATTTATAACAGACAGATAAATAGAAATGTCTTTAAAAATAGGGAAATATAAAAAGAAAAGTAGTATTAAGTCAACGCTCATTAACTTTCAAGGAAAAATTAACCATTTAAATATACATTAAATCATGATGATAACAATTGAGTTGAAATTATTTAAGAATATGATTGGGTTGAAGTTAAAAAAGTACTTTTACAAATTTTAACACACAATTACAAATTTCAATGCACAAAATGATAGAGAAGGAATTTATTATTGTAAAAGTAAAATTATAGTAAAGTACTTCACGCTGTTATTTGAGAACACTACTCCTTAATAATAAAGTGAATGATAACACGAATTTGTGACATGTGCTCAACAGCTCAGAGCTCGATTTCGTCAACAAATTCCTTAGAAAGAAAAAAAAAATGATGCATAGTAAGGGGTATGACACGAGTATTAAACGATATTACTAGTACAAATAATAGATTCAACATTTTTTTCATTGGTAATTGATATATCATGTATTAAGCTTAGCTAAGTGCCATTGCTACCTTTAGCATCGCATGTTCCTTGTAATCTTTGTGGTAAAAGATTTTCATAATGAGTACTCCTTGTCTTAATGTCATTGTTTTATTCTAGAAGGTTTTATTTTCTAAAATCCACACATTCTAGAAGTTTTAAAGGGCACATATATGGCAAGTTTAGTTAGCACACATATAGTTTAGCAAAGAAAGTTTGTGAACCACGTGTGTGGTTGTCATTTTGGTGATCCATTATGACCACCATATAACTAGTACTTATTAAAACGCCAACATATCAAAGTGACATTTGATAACTAAATGTTAATAGTGGATTATCACAAGTCCTTGTCCGTGCAGGGTCCAGACACTGAGGGTAGGGAAGGGGTCATAGACACGTGGCCTAGAACCTTGTCTTATGTTAAACCCTTTTGTGTGTAGTACTATAGCATTCTTTATTGGTCAAATATTCGAGGAAGCTAAGCTAGGGTAGGCACACTTATGATGATGAGTAATTGTGTAGTGTCCAAAGCCAAAAGGATATCCGCTGGCGAAATTTGTGATATTTTATTGGTTGATTTGGTTTTCCTTCTTAGACCAAAAACAGGGGAAAAGATGGGTAGGTGTCACTAATGCGATCAACGCAATGCCCATGTGCATTCAAAATCCAACATTTGGTAGTGGTACCCACAAGTTGATATTTTCTTGCAGCTTTTAGTGGTGTTCTACATCAAATTGGGCCCATCTGTTGGAACAAACTTTGGACATGGTGGGTCGGGTGCTGCCCCATTTTGGGCCAGCTGTAAAAGCCCGTTCCTGAACAATGGCCCAAAACGGATAACAATGGCCTTTAGAATTGAATTAGCTTCAATAGTTGGTAATGGAGAAATCATTTAACGTGACTAACGTCTTTTACTGGGCTTAGTAAAACTTATAATTGAGATTAGTTTTATATTATCAATAAAACATTAATTGGAATGGTACTTGTCTTAGTTTTCTTAAACAAAGTCTTGGATTTGAATTTTTGTAGATAAAAAAAAAATTAGTTAAAAGAGGAAATCCTACTAAAGATAGTCTTAGTTAAAGGAGAGACCCTATTAAAAGTGGTAATCAAGTTTTCTAACAAAAATTAGTCATCTTGATACCAATGTCATCCTTATATAAAAAAATTACATTTTTTTTAAAGCACTTAGTTCCTTACTTCTATCTCAAAATATGTATATTTTGATTCAAATAGGATTGTCTTCGTTGGCGAGGAATAGATCAAAAAATCCTTCTTTTGAATTGTACTATGAACATAGATTTTATAAGAGGTGTTGCATGTAGAAACTAAATCAAAAAGGGTCGACACATTATTTTACTTTTGTTTTGCATTGTTATATTGCAGAAGTGTGACATGCATGGCTAAAGAATATGATTTTTTTATGTGCAGGGTCTGATTGTACTAACTATACAAGCTCGTGATTCTTCATTAAAGCCACCGATGTGTGACCAAGATACCTCGTGTCAAGAAGTTAATGGTGGCAAAGCAGCAATGTTATTTGCTGGCCTCTATTTGGTGGCTCTAGGGGTTGGAGGAATAAAAGGGTCTTTGCCAGCACATGGTGGTGAGCAATTTGATGAAGCCACACCATCCGGAAGGAAGCAAAGATCAACCTTCTTCAACTACTTTGTCTTCTGCCTATCATGTGGTGCCCTTATTGCAGTGACTTTTGTAGTGTGGATTGAAGACAACAAAGGGTGGCAATGGGGTTTTGCAATATCTACCATTAGCATATTTGTATCTATCCCAGTTTTCTTGGCTGGTTCAGCTACTTACAAGAACAAGATCCCTTCAGGAAGTCCACTTACCACCATTTTAAAGGTAACTTACAATCTTACATTACACTAACCTCTACTTTAAGTTATTTTAAGTCACTTATAAAAGAAGAATATAACAACTTTTAAAATTAGTCCTTAAGTCATATCAAGTCCTTATTGAAAGTTTAAATGAAAATAACCTTTAACAAAATTAAACGTAGAAGTTGATTTAAATTATGCGAGAAGTTAAATTCATTTTACTCTTATTTTTTTTCTTTTGTAAGTTTTATGTATATAAGCCTTTTTGAATATAAGGTAGAAGCACTTTTGAGAACTTTGAAAATAAAAAATATTTTTTAATAAATAAACTATAAAAATACTTATAAATTTATATTCAAACAGATTTTATGTTTTATTCAAACAAGATTCTAGTTTATAAGATAACATCATATTTCTTTTTTTCCCTCCAATATTGTCTTTTATCTATCTTTGAACTAGTTTAGTATGGTTTGTGATTCTTATTTTAAATTTGTGCAGGTTCTTATTGCTACTTTACTGAACAGTTGCACCTACAAAAATACAAGCAGTGCTGTTGTGAATATGGCTTCAAGCCCTTCTAATTCACACTTTGGTAGAATAGAGTTAAATCAAGAAACTGTAAAAGATAGCACAACAACTGAAACACCAACAAGGCAACTCAAATTTCTTAATAAAGCAGTTACAAACAAGCCAAGGTATTCATCACTAGAATGCACTGTACAAGAAGTAGAAGATGTCAACGTAGTACTGAAAGTACTGCCCATATTTGCTTGTACCATCATTCTTAACTGTTGCCTAGCTCAATTGTCCACATTCTCTGTTGAACAAGCTGCTACTATGAACACTAAGCTTGGTTCCCTAAAGGTGCCACCATCTTCATTACCCATTTTCCCAGTGGTGTTCATCATGATCCTAGCACCAATTTATGACCACATTATCATACCCTACTCTAGGAAAGTGACCAAATCAGAAATGGGCATCACTCACCTCCAAAGGATTGGATTTGGATTAGTACTTTCCATAATTGCCATGGCAGTGGCTGCTCTTGTTGAAATCAAAAGGAAAAGGGTGGCCACTCACTCAGGCCTACTTGATGATCCAACCAAACCACTACCAATCACATTCTTATGGATTGCTTTTCAATACTTATTCCTCGGATCTGCTGATCTTTTCACCTTGGCTGGATTGTTGGAGTTTTTCTTCTCAGAAGCACCAATAAGGATGAGATCTTTGGCCACATCTCTTTCTTGGGCCTCTTTGGCAATGGGGTACTACCTAAGTTCAGTGATTGTATCTATAGTAAACAGTGTCAGTGGAAACAGTACCCACAAACCATGGCTAGATGGTGCCAACTTCAATGACTATCACCTAGAGAGGTTTTATTGGCTCATGTGTGTCTTAAGTGGGTTGAACTTCCTACATTACCTTTATTGGGCTACCAGGTACAAATATAGAGGGTTGGGTACCACTAATGAATGAAGCAAAGGGGAATGTTTCACAAGGTCTAAATATTCATTTGAGTTCAAGAGTCATTAATCAAATTTTGGCCAAGCTAGTCTTGAGCTAGAGTTGTGTTCAACAGGGTGCATATCATTTAACCCAATGCAAATAGCATTGACATATCCTATATATGTATGCTAGAATAATAGAATAGAAAGAACACAGAAAAAGAAACAAAAATATGTACTGATAGCATCATGTGTAATCATTCTAACTCTTTTGTTGATCAATAGTGAGAGCAAAATGGTTTTTATTCAACTTTTGTTGTTCAGTACAATTTATTAATTGGTTTGTCATGCTTTATTGGTTCAGTACAATTTAGCTAGCAAAACATTACTGTTAAATGGGCTCAATCTAGCCTCCAAAGCTCTAATCCATGTGGACTAGGACTAAAAAAGTTCACAGGGCTAAAAATTCCACAAAGCTCCTAGGGTTAAGGCTAGTTCATGAGCCAATTTTTTTTTTATAAAATTAATGAATTAACTATTAAAAAATTATCGTAGTTCATTATATAAACTAACTTACTGCATAACTAATTAGTCTATTTTATGGATTAATTTCTAATTTTAAGTTTTTTTAATCAAAATTTTAAAATATATTTTATGGGCTAATTTTATTTTATTTTTTTAAATATTTAAATTAAGATAAATTTGTTTTAAAATAGAAATAATATTTTAACCAAAATTAATAATTAAAATAGTTAATATTTTAACTAAAATTAAGATAACCACATTTTATATAAAATTAAGATAAAGACATCAACTAACATAGAATAATTATAAATTGATTAATAATTATATTTAAAATTGTGCAAAGACTAAAATTGTGCAATTAATTAGCTTACACAAGTTATCAGAAGCAACTTAACATAGCTTAAAATAATTAAACAAATCAAAAGAATAAAGAATATTTAAGATCCACTTGTAACATTAAGTCATGATCTTACATATCAATTAGTTATTATACTATTTTAAATAATAAGTATGATTTTTAAATTCTTGTTAAATTGCATTATATTTAAAAATCTTGTAAAATTTCTTAATTTGATAGTTGAGAGATGAAAGGCATCTAATAATTTGTAAAATGAACTTAACTTTTTATATATTGCTAGTGTAGAAAAGTTTATACAATCAATTAAAAATTATTTTAAATAATAAATGTAACTTTTAAAGTAATAATTATACAAATAAATAATTTTGTAATAAATTATAATATATGATCGAATGAAAACATGAAAAAAAGTTATTTAAATTCTTGTAAAATTGTATTGTATTTCTATTTTTTTTAATATATTGATTAATAGAAAAAAATAAAAAAAATTACATGAAATCTAAATCAACTTCATGCAAAATGAAATTTTGGAGGATTTCTCTATTTAAAAAATGTCAAATTAAATTTAGCTTCTCATCTAGTTAACCCATAGGTCATGAACAATAATATTGTTCTCTCTAAAAATATTTTTATAATACATTCGTTAATCACGAATAAAGAACTCTTTAATATTAATAATAATAATAATAATAATAATAATAATAATAATAATAATA